ATTAGTAAGGTTCATGTTGTCTACTATATAACCATTAGATAGTTTTTTAAACGCTTTGTAAGCATATGGAACTACGGTCTATGTGGTCAACTAACGTTATTGTAGCCCCCAACTAAAGCCTGTGTGGTCAACTACTACTGTAGATTCAAACTATAGCCTCTATGACCAATTAATACTATTACAGTAACTAATTACCATCATTGTGGCCAATTACTACTTTTACAATTTTGAACTACGGTATTTGTGATTAACTATTGATATTATAACCAAGAACTAAATATATTTTCTAGTTCAATTATGGTTGTTATTGTTGATTTACTATTGTGTATCTGTGATTATCAGCTTTGTGATTTTATCTTTTCTAATTCAGGAGAAGAGAATTACATAATGGATTACTTTGAGTGGATTAGACTCCGTGATTTTTTTCCTTTTCAAGCTTTTTTTACATAAAAAATATTGGTGTCTCCTTCTACTACTTTTCTTTTATTTCTATGGGTGTTAGATTTTTATGCAAGTCTAAGACACTAAAATACAACTCTTAACTTTGTGAATCTTAGGCACGCAAGAGGACCATTATGCACATCTAATATTATTTGATGTGCAGCTTTACCAATTCTTTCTCCCTACTCTCACGCTCCATTGTGTAACCATCCATATTTTTATTAAGCTCGCTAAGATCTTTACAAAACAGCTTATCATAAATTAGAGAATAATTAACTATCTATCCCACCTCTATAGGATTGACCAAAATGAAGGAGAGTCTTTAGAGAACGTTCTTAGAAGCTTTATAGGGACTATTCCTTAGTCCATTCTATTTATCATTTATGTGAGATAAACTTTATTTTTATGGTAACCTCATTCCTTGTTTTTAAGTTTTATATTACATGCATAACACACAATTCTTATGTATTTACATATCTCATGCCCCAAACTTTCATATTTATGCACACATAAGGGAAAATCATCGTTATTATTACATGCATAACACACAATTCTTGTGCATAATATCTTTTTTTTATATTTTTGGGATGTATTTAGACAAGTTAAGATATGAACTTTAATCTTTGTTACCTTAAATTCTTAAATATGCAACAGTTTGATATTATCTATGAGAATTCATATGTCATTATTATTATAGAATTGATTATTAACTACCCATTTAATGTTGTTTCTCCACTCATCCTACATGTCAAGTTCATAATTCATTGATTGCCATTGCAAAGATTCTCCCACCACCCATGAATGATGTCCCTCGATATGCTATCAAAGTTATTTCTTGCTTAAGAAGAGTTTCTAGTTGGGGATAGATTCCAACTCATCCCAAGTCAAAACCTCCACGAGTCCTCTCCCTTCATTGACACCATTCTACAAAATCCCATATTAGTAAGGTTCATGTTGTCTACTATATAACCATCAGATAGTTTTTTAAACGCTTTGTAAGCATATGAAACTACGGTTTATGCGGTCAACTAACGTTATTGTAGCCCCCAACTAAAGCCTGTGTGGTCAACTACTACTGTAGATTCAAACTATAGCCTCTATGACCAATTAATACTATTACAGTAACTAATTACCATCATTGTGGCCAATTACTACTTTTACAATTTTGAACTACGGTATTTGTGATTAACTATTGATATTATAACCAAGAACTAAATATATTTTCTAGTTCAATTATGGTTGTTATTGTTGATTTACTATTGTGTATCTGTGATTATCAGCTTTGTGATTCTATCTTTTCTAATTCAGGAGAAGAAAATTACATAATTGATTATTTTGAGTGGATTAGACTCCGTGATTTTTTTCTCTTTTCAAGCTTTTTTCACATAAAAAATATTGGTGTCTCCTTCTACTACTTTTCTTTTATTTCTATGGGTGTTAGATTTTTATGCAATTCTAAGACACTAAAATACAACCCTTCTTTGTGAATCTCAGGCACGCAATAGGACCATTATGCACATCCAATATTATTTGATGTGCAGCTTTACCAATTCTTTCTCCCTACTCTCACGCTCCATTGTGTAACCATCCATATTTTTATTAAGCTCGCTAAGATCTTTACAAAACAGCTTATCATAAATTAGAGAATAATTAACTATCTATCCCACCTCTATAGGATTGACCAAAATGAAGGAGAGTCTTTAGAGAACGTTCTTAGAATCTTTATAGGGCCTATTCCTTAGTCCATTCTATTTATCATTTATGTGAGATAAACTTTATTTTTATGGTAACCTCATTCCTTGTTTTTAAGTTGTATATTACAATTGCTGAAGTTATCCAATATCATTAGAAACAATTAGAGAAATCTTTAAGTGTAAGGATCTTAATGATGGGACTGCTTAAAATTCCCTGGGAAATAAACAAGAATAACTAAAAGATTTAGGTCTCCTTCATCATCTCAATAGTGACTACAATAATGAAACTCTTGATAAGAAAAGGAATAAATTTCCCTAAACACATTCTGCATCATTATAAATATAGTAGTGTCAAAATAGTCCCTGACTATTTATATGGGGTTGTTTTAGTTCCAAAGTTTATAAAAATGGCAAAATAATCCTCAAACTTTTTAAATTAGGACTAAAATAGTTCCCATGAAGGACAATTATAGCTCAATTTTAAATCATAGACTATGTTGACACTTCTATAAATTCTAGGATTAAAATGACCCCGTGTAAATAATCAGGGACTATTTTGGCCCTTTTCTCATTAAAAATTTATCATATTTTTATATAGTTTGGACAAATGTTTAGCAAAGAGAACATAGAAAAATTACAAGACTTCTAACTCATTTCAATTTACCTCGTCTAGTATTTTATTGATTCATATTTCTCTTTTATTTTCTTAGTTATCAATGTTATCTTTATTGTGAAAATAATGTGAAAAATAAATTCACATAATAAACAAACAACCAAACACAGTGTGATTTAGTATTGTTAAAAGAATCATCAGTAACAACAATCGTTTCAATCATTATACTACCCTATAGATATAAAATTGTGATGGAAAACTCCCTTCATAAAAATCAGTGCTCTACTACACATCCTTGATACTCTTGCATCAATAACTATCTTGTAACCTTTGACCTCTAAGGCCCTAATTAACGAAACTTCTAATATTTGTAATATGCTTAACATCAATCAGCTCCCTCACAATATCATCATACATCCTGATAAAGACATTGTCTACACCAATAATACAAAAAACTTGATTGTTGCTCATAGTCACTGCACTGTTATCTAGCTTCATGTTATTACATAACCACTCTCGATGGGGACAAAAATGATAGGTAGCACTTGAGTTGAAATTTCAAAATAAATCATCTGTATACAAATTGTGAGAAGCTACATATAACAATACCTTTGAATCATTTTTGTCACTCCACTCCATAATTAGATCAGCTTTTGCCTTAGAGGAAACTCGCTTTCCCTTGTCCTTCAACTTTGAACAATATTTCTTCTGATAACTAGTCTCAAAACAGAAAGCACGTAGATTTTTTCTAAGATTGCGCCCACGAGATTTGTCCGACTTTTGAAAAGTATCGTCGCTGGCATCCTTCTTTGCAAAACTCTTCTTCCTCTCAAATCTTCCACATTAGAGTAAGTACGTTAGCCGACTCCATCTTTGCGTCTTTGTCCTTTCGACGGAAATCATGGTTCAAAAACGTCGTAATCACCTTGTCATAATTTAAGATGACATTCTCATGAATGAGTGTCATCATGAATTTTGCATACTCATCTGAGTGAATTCAATAGAAGAAGTGCATTGTCTTCATCTCAATCTTCTCGTTTAGATTTAACATATCTGTCAAAAGCTTTGTAAAATAATTCAATACTAATCTCTCGTCTCATTTGAAACCTGTAGAATTGATATTTCATATGAAAACGATTCTCCACACTTTTTGTGAGATATTTGTTCTCTAACATCTTCCATAATTTTCATTCAGAAGCCTCCATTATCACCCCATATTTGATCTCCTGAGATAAGCAATCTTAGATCAAGCTACAAATACTTCGGTTCATCTTCAACCATTCTCTTCTTGATAGCTCTCCAGGACATTTATCGCTATGAAAAATTTCATTCATATCAAAGAGTACAACACATTCATCATCTCACATCGTCGCATGCCACAGTTCTCTTCCCATAAAATTGTCACTTCGGTCTTGACGGTATGCATAATCACCTCATGAATTGGCACATTTTTCACCATCGTGGTAGATGTTGAAATACGTATTGACATGCTATTATACATGGCTTCACTAGATCACGTAGGTCAACTTGCTCTGATCTTCTTATCTTGCATTCACGACTTCGTGGGAAATGTACCCGCTCGTCACTAGAAACATTGATCTGGCTCTGGTACAAATTGTTATGCAAAACAGCACGGAAAACAAATTCACACAAAAAAAAAACAACCAAACACAATGTATTTTACGTGATTCGATGCAAATCTGTCTACATTCATAGAGAGGTTATTTCACTATCAATAGGTGGGAAGAAAGAAAACAAATCGGCTGAATCAGAGTTACAACTCAACACACATACCAAATTCTCTACAATCCCTTATATAAATATGACAAGAGTGGAGCGTACAAATTAAGAATTTTTCAAGTATAAGAAAGATCATGTATTAGATATCCTCAAATTATGTTTCATAATATAGAAAATATCATATAATTAAATATACTCAAATTATGTTATCTACAACCAATCTTTCTAAAATACATACTTCCTAATTTACGACCATTACATTTAATACTTTTCATAACAATATTTCCAAGCATGATTCCTTGCTCCCAACACCCAGAGTCATCCATCATCTATCACTCATTGATAATTGGCACCAATGTTTGCCACCTATAACTTATAATCCACTACAAAACAAATCTTTAGCCCTCATCATTTATCCATTTAAAAGTTTTTCTAAAGAATTATGTTCTTAATATATGTCTAATTGTCTTTTTATCTCCACATGTGAAATATTCAAATCAAGCAACAAATTTTTCAACAAGGAATCAAATTGTAATACAAAATTTACATATCAATCAGATAAAATTTATGCTTTTACATACCTGGAATGGAACCAGAGCTAATTAGCTGAGATTGGGATATTAAGATCATTTCATATACTAACCTCATGTTGTCCTTATTCTGAATCCAGGCACTCGACAAAGCTACCTGCCGCAACTGCCCCCATTGACGCGCTGCAATCAAGACTCCCGTCTCGCAAAGCTATGGAAGAAGGCCAAACCATGTACATCCACCGCCAAACCATGTACACCCGGCACAGATAATGACCCGCTCTTCATCGGCCGTGCAGTCCCGACTCCAGTCGCAGCGGGCGGCACACCGGCCGGAGAAACCCACCATCCCCGCACATCAACCAGCCGCGGCACCCAGCGACTCTACATTCGGATCAACACCCTCCATTACCTCCACTCCCACATCCATTCCCTCGACAAATCCCTAACCTTCTTCTCACGCGGCAGCAGCTCCGCCCATCACCACCAACTACACCACAACCGCCGCCTCACTCCCGCCGCCCACTTCGACCTAATCCGCGCCTCAATTCAGTCTGCAATACTCCACGTCTCCGAAATCGCCGCCTACCGCCTCATCTTCCTCGATTCCGCTCACTCCTACCACAGCCTCTATGTCGGCGATGTCGCCGGTTCGAGAATCCGGCCGTGTTTGAGGATTCTGAAGCAGAATCTGAATACGCTGCTCACGATATTGACCGATCGAGCGCAGCCGGTGGCGGTGAGGGAGGTAATGCGGGCCTCATTCGAGATGTTCTTGATGGTGATTTTAGCCGGAGGGACGGAGAGGGTTTTTGTTAGGACGGATTACGAGGTGGTGTTGGAGGATTTCAGGAACATGAAGAGGGTTTTCTGTGCCTCCGGGGAGGGATTGGTGGCGGAGGAGGTGGTGGATAGGGAGGCGGAGGTTGTAGAAGGTGTAATTGGACTTATGAGCTTGCCGACGGAACGGCTTATTGAGGAGTTCACAGCAGCCGCGCGTGAGACGAGTGTCGCCGTAGCGATGGCGGAAGGGCGGAGGATTCCGATGCCGGCGACCGCCGGGAGGTGGAGCCGATCGGATCCTAATACTGTGCTTCGAGTTCTCTGCCATCGGAACGATGACACGGCGAACTATTTCTTGAAGAAGGCTTTCCAGCTGCCGAAGAGGAGATGAGCAACGAATATCTATGTACATCAATTTTTTTTTTTTTGTTTTTTTTTTCTTTGTATTTATTATTTGATAATAAAATGTAATATTTATATTTATAAAATTTTAATATCATAATCATGTTAAAATATATGCATAAAAACTATTTTATTTAAAAAAAAATCGTAGTAATCATATTTAATTAAATACTAAAAATTAACAAGTTTTATAATTAATTAATTTGAGAGAGTTATATTTTATTTCATAATTATCGAGCTTGTTCAAAATATAATAAAATTGTTGATAAACTTTACATACAAACCGCTCAATTCCTATGTATTTATAAATGTAACTCCTAAACTTCAATTTTTTTGTATGTATATCAGAAGTCATTTCAGAAAAAAAAATAGTATTAGGACTCCGCACGGACTCCGCGCGTAGAGTTACGTGCGGAGTCCAATAAAATTATGACACATAGATGTGACAGAAAAAAAATTTGACCTAATTATAAAAAAGAATATTCCTCTAGTGTTATTCCGTATTATTAAGTGTTATTGTATATTATTCAATTGTTATTATATTCTGAGAATATTCTCAGTATTATAATAACATAATAACACATCAATAACACAATAACACCTAAATAATATAGAAGAAATATTTCCTTATATTACCAGCTAATTTTTTTTTTCTATCACCGCAACGTGGAATGATTTCATTGGACTCCGTGCATAACTTTACGTGTTTAGTCCTGATACCATTACTTCAAAAGGTGAAATAATACTTTGCTGATTTTAATCAAAAACCTTCACAATGAAAATTTGTAAGGCACATCAAATTAAAAAAATTATATTTATAAAAAAATAATTGACAAGTCAAACACAACACTTCCACATAACTGGCTTAGCTAATAATTTTATTCTAGATTATATCTAAAGCTTATAAACTCTGCTGTAATGAACACAAATTATTTGAAGTTAAAAGATAAGAAATTGAACAAACATATCATCTATAAATGAAGAGAGAATACAATCAAGAGAAGAAATTTTGTTATACAGTGAAGGATTGTGTCTATTCTTGTCTGGAGGAGAACTGGTTCGATTAAATGGAGATGCACCCTTTACAACAACCATTCTGCGCCAGCAGCGAGTCCAGCAATCTGATTCACCAGAATGGGTAAAAATACATAAATCATTTGTAGCTTCCTAAAAAACAGAGATTTGGATACTGTGTATTTCCTCCACACAAAGCTATATTTTAATAAATAATTTTTTTACATATCAACCACCTAAAACTTAAAATATATATAATAACTATAGAGTTTAGGAGGATGACTATACTTAAAAGAATGGTTAAAATATTATAACTATATTTTGGGAGGTTAAAGTATTATATTTAATGTTTTGAATGATTTATAAGAAAAAACCTAAATTTATAATTATAATAATAAACTAAAAAAACTTTTGAACTTCTACGTGACAACTGTAGTTTCAATACTGACAATTATAGACCTTCTCATCCTTCAAGATTTAACTCTAACCCACAATTCAAGAAGAAGATAACTTGGGAGGAGGTTGTATTGCGGATAGGGAATCAACAGCAAAGTCAAGGTGCAACAATTAGGAATATGAAAAACCAGTTGGGACTGATTGCTAACTCACTTGGCAATCAACCCCAAAGATCTCTTGCTAGCAACACTGAGAGTAAACACTAAGGAGAGAATAGTGAGCATGTGAAAGCGGTCCCGTTAAGGAGTGGAAGAGAATTGGAGGATGTAGTTCGAAAAGATGTGAAATTGAAAAGGTGCATTAGAGCGTTGTTGTGCTTCTTCTAGGAACAACGTCATTGTAGAAGCATGAGGTCTCAAATAGAGTGATAATCAAAAGAGCATTATAAATAGGAAAAAAATAGTGTGCAGATGAGATGGGTGTGGAGTAGGTGCAATTCGGTGGCATTGGCATGATATTGAGATAGTATTGATGATATTACGGTAGTACTGGGATGGTATTGAGATGCAATATCACCCCACTACCACCAGAATACCACGGTCCGCACGCCTGGTGCACATAATATTCACTCAATAAATCGGGGCAAGCACATACATAACACTTGAAACATTGTCTTATTTACAAATCGAGCACCCTCTTTCATTCATTTTTTAAAGTCTCACTCAAATATCAAAATTCACAATAAAACTCCAATCCATTATTTTTCATTCTTATCAAATTCTCAATAATTTGACCGTGGCACGCGTAAATGCATGGGTTCGGTAGTTCAGAAAAAAACCAATCATCTTGGGTGCTACCTTTGTAAATAGCAATGATTCGAGTGATGTGTATGTAATTATCCCTAATAAATATTTCTTAAAATAAGCAGCCGAATGACAAGATAACATAAATTAGAGGGGAGAAATGCAAAATTAGAAGCCTATATGTAAAATTTTAAGATATTGCTTAAGAGGACACAAAACTAGAGTTGTATGCAAAATTGGCATAGCACATGATCTTCATGTATGCTAAAATATAGAATTATAAGCAACCCAAAAAAGAAACTAATATGAGAATATGGCAAATTTAGCTAAACAAGTTAAATTAAAAAACATGGCTAAGATATTCTGTGATTAAAATATGAATTAACCTAAAGCAAAGGTAGTAAACTAACACTAAAAATTACAAAGACTAGTTTTCACCTAAATATTTTACCCAAATGCAAAACTAATCTATCACCAAGACAGACATACATACCATTGGTCATGGCAACAGATTTTGGCTTCCACTGAGTATCTGGATACATTGCAACAATGTGCACACAGCAACCCCTGTACAGGAGGGAAATGCATGGCAGAAAAGAGAAAAAAAAAAACCATTATTCCAGTATTACTGTAGTGTTAATTCTACATCTACCCCTACCTTAACCATTAGAATAATCTACAATATTCTTATATAGCAAGATACTAGGCCATAAATGCTAATCTGTTAATGTACTATAGCAAGATACTAGACCATAAATGCTAATCTGTTAATGTACTATAGCAACATGCTAGGCCACGCATGCTAATCAGTTAATCTACTATAACTACATACTTGCCGCACATGCTAATCTATTAATCTACAATAGCAACAACATTGGCCATACATTCTAATCTGCTAATCTAATAGAACAACATGATAGGCCACACATGCTAATCTGTTAATCTACTATAGCAACATACATGGCCATACATTCTAATCTGTTAATCAAATATAAAAATATAATTGGCCATACATGCTAATATGTTAATCTATAATTGCAACATAATAGACCATGCATGCTAATCCATTAATCCAACATGGCAAAATGTAGGCTAACACATTTTGATGTAGGCTATAGAAGGTGATTTTTATATAAATCCTTATATGTTAGACTAATTTACTTGAACCACAAATGATGAAATCACATAAAATATCCTAAAAATGATGATAATGTGTCAAATTATATGCTACAGCTAAGGAAAATCCATCTATGTTTTCCCAAAAATTATGATAAGAAAGCTGGTACCATTATCGCTTCCTTGCTGCCAAAAAAAAAACAGAGTAACCCATATAAAAGCAAACAATAAGGCTACTAAAATAGAATGCTACGCTTTAAAACCAGTCATAACAATAGCATAAAACCAGGAAACATAATGGAAAAACTAACACAAGCTTACTCTAGTTGCCGGATAACTAGAGGCTGACTACACAACATAATGTCATATATCGCCCTACATAACCGCATAATTAACCAGCAGAAACGGTCGATAAACGATCGTACAAGCTATATATTACACTACAGAACAACTACAGTTTATGCAAGGCAAAGCAGATAAAAAACTAATATACTAAAGATAAGGCACTCGAATATTCAAACCCTTCCCCAAAAATCATTCCTCTTCAGCAGGCAGAAGGATTTCATATCACAGAACCAAAGTTGCATAAAAATCAAAGTAGCGAATCCAAATAACCAATAAACAGATGCAACCAAAACTCGGGCATTAAGATCACTGTTGCTGCCCATGCCTGGATTGAGAACCAGTATATCCACTATAACCAATAGCCCCACCAGGTGCACCAGCACCAGCCAACTGACCGGCCCCATAGCCGCCTCCCTGAGCAGGATCAGATCTCCAAGCATTCGAATAACCGGTACTTCCACTGCCATCATTATAACCTCCGCTAGCAAAGCCACCCCCCAAACCCTGCTCCCCACCACCACTAGGATTGACACCACCATAACCACCTGGATTGCCATAAGGACCTTCAGGCCCACCATACCCACTATAACCAAAGCCTTGGTTTCCATATCCTGCTGCAGCACTGGGAGACTGACCTGTGTGTCCAGAAACAGCTCCTCCATACCCTGCATTTGCACCATAACCAGTAGAAACATACCCGCTCCTCGGAGCACCTGGAGGTCCGCTAACATAACCAGCGCCAAGTCCACCAGGATTTCCATAGGCCCCGGTGTTTCCGTAGCTGAAACCTACACCATTGGTAGCCGTTCCGTAACCATAAGCGGGAGCACCGTAACCCGACGAACCATATGGATTATAACCAGCACCACTTGCTGGTGCCTGCATGTACCGACTGCCATCAACTCTGTTATCGTAAGAGTTAGAGTTGGTGCCCGAGCTTCCGTAAGACTGATATGTTCCGCCCCCCACGGATCGGTTTGTGGTGTTTCCAGGGTTTGCGTCCTTTGGAAGGGCACGTTTAACCTCCACAGCTTTCCCACCCACATCATGAAATTGCTTCTGAACCACCCGATCAACACTATCTTCTGAGTCAAAAGATATGAAGCCAAAACCTCTAGGACGCTGCGTGTTCGGATCATACATCACGACAACATCAGTCACGGTGCCAAAAGCTTCAAAGTATTTGCGGAACTCCATATCGGATAGAGTGGGAGGAAGCCCTCCGACAAAAATCTTTAGAGGGTGGGGGGAGCCCCCCCGACAAAAATTTTTTTGTTTCGAATCCTCCCGCCGCCGCCGCCGCCGCCAGCATTTCTCATTGTGTTATTCCCTGATCGAACAGCAGTATGCTGTTCCTCTCTTGACATAGCCTTCTTAGCTTCCACCTAAGAAAATCCAGTGATTAGAGAGCAAAGATAAAAAACATACCAAAGTTAATGGTTGTATTTTTAAAACCAAAAGTAATGCTACACTAAACAAATAAATCTTCACTTAAAAGAAGGCCATGTCACTATCCATATGATAACTGACGAAGTATCTTAAATTAATGTGAATCCTAAACTATCCATATGATAACTGACGAAGTATCTTAAATTTTTTTTTATATCTAAGTTATGTGGTATATATATCACTTCCAATATCATATCAGTAAAACAAACCACGTATTTACGTCTGAAAAATAACATTTTGGGATACGATTGCTCGATAAACTCAGACAAAACAACTAAGTTATTTTCTCATATTGTCCAAAACATGCTAAATAGAATCAAGTCACTAGGATCTATTCCAAGTGAATCTATTTAAATTAAACCAAAGTACTATATTTAAACAGAAAAATCTTATATTAGCATTACAAGAAATGCAGTAAACTGAGAAAAAAGCCATGCATGATCCGACCTGTCAACATCTACAGAAATTCGAATTAAAAAAAATGGGTCTGGGAGAACAAAATCCCTAAATCTAGTTTGAAAACAAAAGGAAGAAAACTGAAGGGGAAGCACAACAAATGAAGAAAGCAAAGATTAAAACTGCACAATCTAATTTCATCAAACATTCATGATTATTAAAAATAGAAATTAATAGATAATAAGATCAACTTAAAAATATAACAAAACTCCAGAAAAACAGTTCAATCATTCAAAAAAAAAAGTCCACCTAACTGATAAAGAAACTCAGTGGTCTGGAGATAATAAAATACCATGCAAACCAATAGATAGCATCAAAATTACCAAAAAAAAGGAAAGGGAGCAGCAAGAAAAAAATAGATTTATCCATAAATATACTCAATATAATTTTGAAAAAAATCAAACAAATGTGGAATTCTCCAAAAACTCACAAGATTATCCCAGAGTTCCTACATGATGATCAAGCCAGCATCTCATAAAAGTAGAACAAATGATCAAAATATAAATCAACCTAGAAGAAATATTACACTTGAATCTCAATTCATTACAGATTGAAAAAAAAAAATGACAATCTGCAGATGCAATAAAATAAAAGACAGTCTTCAATCAAAATTTCACATTTAAATAACCATATATCAGGATAATAAAATGAATCCAAAATGAACTGATGATGTAGTCAAATAAATTAAATAAATTACTCAAACAGCAGATACATTCATTAAGAGATAAATGTGTCGATGGAAGAACAAGATTGTAGCTCATTCTAGGAATTGCATTGAAGAGTTGAGAAGGTGGAAAAATGCAACTCTCTCAAATTACACAATGTGAGACAGAGAGAATGATAGAGAGAGGGTGGTGGGAGGGATAGAGAGAGACGGGGGAGGGGGAGGGGGTGGAGAGTTCTCTTAATACACAGTGCAAAACCCTCTAACAAGCAAACAGAAACAAATACTAGAGGAAAAAAAATGCCAAGATTGAAGCCTCACAAATAAAGAGCGATCATAAGACAAAGAATGCAGTGTCCTTCAAGAGCTACTAAAGGTCCATTAATCATATTTAAAAAAAACGATAGTAAAATTACAATCCAATACACAAAAAACTTGAATAAAACTTTGCTGTGGTTCGATTTCAGCATTTAAACATATCTTTTTAGGCTTCTCAAATCCTAATTTCTTAAATGCTTAACTCCCTAAATCCAATACCAATTGAATGTACTAAGGGGTTGTGGGTTAACGGATTTAAGTTGGATTTAATTTAAATCTTACCATATTAAAAAATGGCTACTTCTAAATTTTCGATTTAATTTTTCAATTTCTCCTTAGTTTAGCCTTAAAGTCCAAATTTACTAAATCTTAGCATTATCATAATTTAGTACATCCAGAATTACAGATTTTACAAAATCTGTTACAAAACAGCTCCTAAGTCCGCGCTAAATCCAAGATCCACTAATAATTACCAAAAGCAAGAGTTAAAAATTGGAGGCAATAAGAACTAGTAAATCCTTCATAAAAACAAGTGGTCTCCTAATACACGGTATGCAATCACATATTCCACTCTAAATACTAAAAGGAAACAAATAAGTGCAAAAATATAACGCCAAAATTCAGCCATTGCAGTCTTTTGTATCTTTTATTAGTTTTTTAATGCAATAAGCTTATTTTCAAAAAAAATCAGTCCTTGCAAGTGTAAACAGTAAAGATAATACTAAGAATGAAATATCGTTCAGAAGCTATTAAAGGTCTAACATTCACTTTTTAAAAATTAGTGCGGCCTTTACATATGTTTTACCAAGTTCCTATGAATTAAATATCAATCACCCAAACTTCAATTTTTACGTACAGACCGCCCAATTCCTATGTTTTCGGAATAGTTTGCATGGTTTGTATGAAAAAATTGAGGTTTAGGTGGTTAATACAGGGGAATTGGGTAGTAGGTATGTAAATATCCCAAAAAATTAACACTGATAAGTACAATTATACAAACACTTGAATTAATCTTATGTGTTATTCAATTGTGAGATTTAATCATATTTTTAGTCTTATTTTAATCCGGGAATTCAAAAATCCAATATTAAGTTGAATGTACAAAGTCCACCTTAAATCTAGTATCTAGGAAATCATGCCAAAAGCAAGAGTTGCAATATTTGAGACAATAGGATCTAGGAATTCAAATAGGTATTCTTACTTGCATCCAAATTACTCTCAAGATTTAACTCCGATTAAGGGATGTTTGGTAGCACCCTTTTAATAGGACTTATGTTGAATTTAACATAAATCCAGCAAAATGTGAAAAACATCGGACTGTCGATCCATTTTCTTCTCTCCCGTAATGTAAATCCCATATTGTATAAATTCGATCAATAGGTAAACTTAATGGATTTAAAAAGGAATGCCTCGTTGCTTCTTGAAGTTGTGCAGGAGGGAGAGACGCAATCGTCAAACACTGCAAATGGAGTTAACTAGATTTAACTTAAATCAAGCCAAATATATTCCTGGATTCAACACATCTGGATTTTATCAATCCGCATATACAGTATTTACCAAATCCTATTTAACTTAAATCCTCAGAACAGCCAAACATAGCCTAAGCATATTTTCTGCCAAATTCCCAAGATTATAAAATCAACATTTACAGAATTAACTAAAACAAAAATTTTAAGTAGAAACAGACAAGTGCATATTATTGCATCCAAAACTTACAATCCAACACCTCGACCCAAAACTCCATGCATTCTCCAAGAACAAAAAAATGCATGAAAAGCAATCATTAACAAATCGTCACAAAACTGGGAGTAGAAAGTAATCAAATCTCCATAAATATAGCAAAAACATCCATCAAATGTTTCATAGATCAGCATAGAACCCTATCAAACCAGATTAACTATACCGTAAATTTGATAGCAAAAAACAACAGAGAACAAACGAAACTCATGTCGCAGAAGGAAAAATGCTGTGAATAACAGATTATCATGAATAAATTTCCAAAATATTAAGATAAAAACCGCATGATGAAATGATTCTCACAGTGCGGCCGTCGATGGTGTGAGTGTCTTGGAGTACACGATCTACGATGGAAGGGTCCGCAAAAGCTACAAATCCAAAGCCCCTAGGCTTTCCTGTAGCCTTATCCCTCATCACCACCGTCTGCAAGACATCGCCGTACTGGCTGAAATAATCTTTCAGCTTCTCTTCAGTTGTTTCCCACGAAATACCGCCGATGAAGAGCTTCCCTTGATCCGAATCCATAGATCTCCTTTCTCTCTTCGACTACCTAAAAGAAGAAAATTGGAAAGGAGTTTGGTTTCTCCGAGGAGAACCGGCGGCGGAGCGAAGAATGAGAAAGAGGAGAGAGGGTAGGGTAGAAAAAGCTGGATAAAATGGAGACCTCGGAGACCTTCGTGATGGACGGCTGCGATGATTAGTACAGTGACGATCAGAACGATCCTTGAATAAAACAATGTGATAATTAGAATTTAGTTATGATAATTAATAAATTTTAAAAACTGGTAATTTTTTTCACACTTAGAGCCCGTTTGGGACAGCTTATAAGTGTGGGCGGCGTTTTGAAAACGCCGCCTCACTGTTTGGTACCCACTTATCCCCAGATTATTGAAAATTGTGTTTCCGAAATTGTAAAAGACGCAGACCGCGGGCTGACCCCCGCGGTCCGTGTCAGCCCGCAGTCCGCATTTTCCAATTCAATTTACGCCCGTGACCTTGCTTTTTTCCTTCGCCTCTCCCGTGACCCTAGCTTCTCGCTTTCGCTCTCATCTCTGTTGAGATCCCCGGCTAAGGAGCTTCGCCCGGATCGCAGCCGTTCTCCCGTCACCAGCCCGTTCGAGGCTCGATCCAGCTAGCTTCTCGCTCTCGCTCTCGTCTCTGTTGAGAGCCCCGGCTAAGGAGCTTCGCCCGGATCGCAGCCGTTCTCCTGTCACCAGCCCTTTCGAGGCTCGATACAGCAAG